ACGTATATAATCGTTAGTTCGTAATTGACCACTGTATTAGTGACCATAAAATAATACTATCAAATAACATTTTTTTTCAATATTATATCAATTGCCATTCTAGAACACTTTGTTGGACAAAAATTAAATCTATATTTTGACCTTTTATTGACTTATTTTCTCGCCCCTATTATTAGGTAAGCTTTCAAACAATGAACGAATAAATAGTTATGAGTTATGATCAAGTTCTTTTCGCTCGTGATGATGGGTTTTCTTGCCACAGTCTTACGTGACTTGAGATGTATGAGCTAGTACGGGTTTTGGATATGGTTAATTCGACCATTTACTAAAATTGGAGATCAAGACAAAAGAGCATATCCCTATTTTGTAGGGAGAGACTCTCTCACACTACATAAAGAGAAAAACCCCAAATAAAAATCTAAAACCCTTTTGATGTGGAGACTGGAGACTTTAGAGAATACAAAATTCAAAAGTCTCTTTCTATACATTTAGCCAGAAAAGTCTGAGTGATTTCTCTACAAAATATTGTTTTCGAAAACATTCTCAGATAAGATAGAGTACTGCAATCTGCAAATCAGAATATGTACTGCATAAATCTCATATCTACGCGAAGAATTAGAATACGCATTGTTATTCCTTTTTGAAACGTTTCACATTATATACAACAAACACGAATTATTCATTACAAAAATAAAATAAATAACCGACTATAAGACTATGAATCCTAGCACTGTTCTAATTTGTAAAAGATATATGGGCTAAAACATTCATGGAAATTTAACCGTTAATACTCTTTTATATTGAATATTTCATCGTTTATACTTGATTATGTCGAATATCATCTATATTGGTAGTGAAATGTGAAAATTTTGTGTTGTTACATCAAATATTCTAATTTAGAAAAGAAAACAACATGTGTGTACGTTATAAGCTGATCGTGTTTTTTTAAGCAATGAGATGCCTTAAACAAACCTTTTACTCATTATAATAATACTAGGGCTAAGCCCGCGCGATGCGCGGATTGTGACTATTACAAAGTTTTTTTACTGATATTTTAATTGTCATTTGAACCTTGCCAATATTTTATCTCTTATCTTTGAAAGTCTGCATCACGCCAAAAGGCTTTGGAAAAAATGCTTACGAAGTTGGATGAGTAAAAAATGTATGGAGAATGTGAAGCAATAATAAAATTTTATGATATTGATGGTAATGGAATTCTTGATTTTCATGAGTTTCGTCGAATGACAGTTTAATTAAATTAAATTGTATAATTTTTATATAATTATCCTACTATTTACTTGAAATGTTTATAAAGTGGGCATTTTGTAAAATTAATTATTTGTGACGAAAAAATTATGAATAATGATTACTCGACCCTCTTTCTCCGGCAGTCTAAGCAAAGAAACTACTATGATCCACTAAAGCTTTCTTCTGAACTCTCAGCTTCACACAAAAGTCTATAAGAATCAACTTTAGCAAAGTCAACATGAAAAGGTAATCTATACTATATGCAAGTAACATAAATGTGAAGACGGGATCTCATTTCATATCTTATGTGATCATGATTCGTATCTCATATCTTATGTCTTTAATCTCGTTTTATTTTCACCAGACTTACCTAATTTAGTTACTTGTTTGCTACTCAGCTTTTGTTGAATTATTTTCCAATTAAAGATCTTATCCAATGTCTACACGATTTATTTATTTTCACATTATATTCTCACTTTCAAGCTTATTTTCTTGTTTGTTTTTTTTTTTTTTCCTTTGGCCAATTTGATTTTTCGAAATATCTTCTTCCAGTTCTAATCTTTTCTCTCGACGACAAATTTTCTTAGTGGCTTAGTACTAATTTATACTACTTGTTCTTCTTCAATCATCTGTATTATTATCTTTGTGCATATTCATTTTCCAGTTATCTTTTTTTTTTTTTTGAACCAAGGCTTTCGTATTTAAATGCATGAGGAAGAAAACAAATTACAAACCCTATGGGCTATAGTTTTTCCAGGGCAAGCCCAATATCATAACCAGCCAAATTAAAGGAACCAAGTTGAACCAAACCAAGTTTAAACCAAATTAATGAAGAGATCTTCTCGACAGTTCTGAGAAACCAAGGAGCGATGTCTGAACAAGACGATTAATTCTACCCTGCCGTCTCTGTTGAGAGCCATAGCTGGAGTAAATCAGAAGCATGAGAGATATCTCTATCTCTGAAGTAATCGCTTTTCCCAGTTATCGCTTTTCATTTTGATACTTTTTTCTTGGGTTTCTCAAATTTGTCGGTAAACGATGCATTTGATGTTTCTCGAGATCACCCATCTCTGGAATTCACGAAATTTCTCGGCTATTCCGTGATTTTTCTGGGTGAAATTCAATAAGAATTTTTCTGGTTTCACAAAATTATGGCTTCTTCGATTTCACACTATGAGTCATCATCATCGGCGAGATTCCGGCGGAGATGTAGTTCACGTGAACGGAAGATGACTACAATCGCGTCTGGGCAGTGAATCCCGATAATTCCCCGGCGACAATGGTCCTCCGATCAAGAAAACGCGAGGCTCTCCGTCGTCTTCAGCCGCGAGCCAAACGAAACGTGGGGAATACAAAACGATTTTAGTTCGAGTTCCATGCGTTTGCTAAATTTTTTTTGTTTTTTTTATAATAAATGAGAGAATGACATGTGGCAATTCGAGAAGAGAAACAAAAAACTGACGTGGCGCTCATACCGAGAGAGTTATTAGTATACATTATCAATAACAATCTTGATAAAAGAATGTATTTATCATCTACGGCCAAAAAGAGTATTGAGAATTTGTACTTGATATAGACTTCATACAAATTGAAGATGGAGAGGAGAGAATATAAATGTTCTCATTTATTTGGTTTTTATTTGGTGGAGGACCAAAATGGGGACCAAAAAATAACTTAAGCCAATCTCCTCTCAAGACAAACAAGATCGAAGAAACTATATGTGCATGCAATATTTTGTTTTTTCATTTATTATTAGAATTATTTTGGACGAATTTTACTGTTATTTCCTTGAAAACTATATATACTAGGTTTGAAGCGCGGGGTTGTTTGCGATAGTTTTCTGTTTAGTTTTATCTATACTTGTTGATTTGAATTATGATGGTTTTGTATTAACTTTCATGTTTTTTGTTTATATTTTGAGTTAACCCAATCACTAACATTAAAAATATGAACAATTTGTCTTTTATTTTATTTTATTAGGATGTTAACACTCCCACTTTATCTCGAGTTTTCTATTTCTAAAATTTTAGCATGTTATAAATATTATGTTTGTTTACTTCTGTTAGACTATAAACATGCATATGCATTGGACTCAACGTTAAAATTTGTAAGCATAATGTAAAATAGCATTTGGACCCGAAATAAGATGAAAAAAATAATATATATACTTTTTTACATATCTACTTTGTTGTGGTAGCATATGAGCCTCATAACCATTGATTATTTTCTATTATGTTAGTTTTGTAAATATTAATTATATTTTGAGACAAACATATCACAATCCTTAAAATTTTCATGTTTTTCACTGCAATTAAATTTACATATAAAAACTCGACTTCTATTTAAAAAAATAAACTCTAACTCTAATTTCTCATTGGCTTTTTATTATCTTAATTAATTTATATTCAACTTTTTAACTTGTAAACACATTATAACATTTTGAAATAGGATAAATTCTTTTAATAAAAAGGTAAATATATACCATTTCAAGTTACATATATTTTTACTTATATTCAAACTTTTTGATAAATTTTAACATCAAGTTATCACATATTTTATATTAATTAAGTAATTTAGTTGTGTATTTTTCTTAGTTTTATTTATATTTAAAATATAAATATATGCAAAGAAATATGAAAAGTCATGTATTAAATATCTTAAAAACAATTTAATGAATTTTTGTGCTGATGTGGACACTCTATATGGAGAGAGCAACTCCCTAATTATATATAAGATAATATATAGACTTTTCATCTACTTAACTATATATACGAGGATAAAGTCAGGAATTTGCTAAATAATATTTTTAAATTCGAAAACTATATTTCGCACATAGGTTATTTTTGTTTTTGAAATTTTAATTAATATGGTTAGACCATTATAGAATAATTGTTAAAAATAATGTGATCAAATATCAAGTCATTTTCATTTCGGCCATTTACATTCCTCTCCAACCTAGTGAATTTTATATTGCTTAGTCCACACCTATTTCAACAATCTTAAAGTAATATTTATACAAGAGTTGTCTATTATATAGGAAATCAGATTTCTAGTGTTATACTTGATAAATCACTCTTACTTGGTCATTATCAACATGTATAATGATCATTTGGCATATAATGTTTGATGATATGCTAGTGTATAGATCAACATTCCTTTTAAGTGGTTGATAAGAGATACTACAAAATTATAATCTCTGAGTCATCATTCCAATAGAGTGTTCTAAAGATCATATGCTATCTAATGTCTTAATCGTTTAGCCGTTTAGGGATCAAATCAAAACCAACGTTTTGTCACATCCTTTACGAATACGTAATATCTATCGCTTTTCTTTATGACTCAAGTTTTTGACCAAAACTTAAAAGTTAATGTTGTGCAATCTTCAGATGAATAATCTCTTTGTTTTTCTTTTTTGCTATGGCACATTCAACAAAAATATGAAAACTATTGAGACATTAGAAAGCCTCTTAAATGGGCTGGCTATATCAAAGCCTATAAAGAGCCCATTATATTAACCTCAATAAAGTCGGACCAATACGATGCGTTTTAAGTAAATTAGCCTTTTGACTTTTTGACCGATCATAGGAAAAAGTCTCAATAATATAAGAATGGCGGAAGGAGAAGACGCGACGGCTGAGAGGTAAGAGGAAGAGAGACTTAAAGGAAAAGAGGCGCGTGAGGATTTTTTTCAACTCATTCTTCTCTCTTCTCCGGCGGTCTTTTCGTCGTCTCTTCCTCTTCGCTCCGGGAAGATGGATACCGCAGATATGCCTTCAGTCGCCGCCGTCAAATTGCCAGCAGCGGAAGACGCGATTGGCTCCACCGCGGATATTTCCCTGCCGCCGTCACATGAAGTCGATTCGTCACCACCAGTTACTGGAGCTTCCGAAGATGTCGTTGTCTCGGAGTTGCCGATTTTCACTCCGTCAGACGATGATGTTGACCACGAGCGAATTAGCGGCGAGGATCGCGACCAGGAGGATCACGGCGATGATCCGGTCGAGACCGACGTTGTTGTTCCTCACGATGAGTTGAAGCAGAAGATCATCAGACAGGCAAGTGATTTTGCTCTCTCTCTCTCTATCGATTTCTCTCTTTTTGGTGGTCTTTGATTTGGGGGTTATTGATCTGTTCTTCAATTTGCTTGCAGGTTGAATACTACTTCAGTGACGAGAATTTGCCTAGTGACAAGTTTCTTCTGAATGCTATGAAGAAAAACAAAAAAGGCTTTGGTGAGTATCTCGAATTGCTCATCTATCTATGAACTTTCTGATTCTTGATACTTGATAATTACTTTTTCTATCGTATTGGTGGTCCAAAACTAGTGGTGTATGGAACTGTTAAGAACAATGCCAATGGCTGTTTTTTCCTTGTGCAGTTCCTATATCTACCATTGCTACGTTCCACAAAATGAAGAAGCTTACACGAGACATTGCTTTGATAGTATCAGCCTTAAAGGAGTCGTCATTTCTCGTAAGCTTCTTCTTTAGTAGTTACACGTAGTGCCAATTGAAAATTGTTTGAGACTTTGAGTTACCATATAACATAGCAATAGAAATTAGAATTAAGTATCTGTTTTTGGTCAACCTGTTGCAGGTGGTTAGCGCTGATGGGAAGAAGGTGAAGCGTCTGAGTCCTCTTCCTGAGGTCAGGGATCCAAAGGTATCACTTCTTTCTCTGTCTGACAAATGTAATGTGTTGTGTGTTTGCTTCCTTTGAGATATATACATTCGTTACTAATTAGTGTACCATAGATTTTCACTGTTTTGGTAGAAAATTTGCCAGAGGATCATTCAGATGAGAATATTCGGGAGATGTTTAGTAAAGCTGGAAGGTATGTCTTTTCACCTGTCATATCACTGCTTACATTCTTGGTTGTCTCTCTCAGTTATACATACTACTGATTTACGCTTCTTCTTCTCAAACTGTAGAATAAAAAGCGTATCCGTATGTGATCCAAACGCTGTCCAAGAATCAGAGAAGGGTTGTAAGAAGGAAAAATACATCACACCCAGAGTAAGGAATTTTTTGATGGACATTTATGTGTATGGTTAGTAATTGACTTTTTCTTCTTCTTTTGGCTATAGTTACATGCATTTGTGGAATATGAAACAGTGGAGGCAGCTGAGAAAGCGGTGAGTGTCAAATACTGTATGATGTTTTGGTTAGCTCTCTTACACGGAATGGTTGTCATTATCTACTTTTATGAATCGGTGCAGGCAGCTACGTTGAATAATGAGCAAGACTGGAGAAATGGGTTGCGAGTTAAGCTTCTTGATCAAGCAGTAAGTAATCCTACCAACTGAAAAATACACATGGAGTCAAACCATAGCTTATATAAACTGATTGCTTTATTCACACCATAGGGAAAGTTTGTACAGAGAAGACCAGTTAGGAAGGATGTTGATACAGAGAAGGACAACGCAGGCCGAGTGCATGATCAAACTGGAGGTGAGGAGAACAAAAAGGCAACTGAACATCAGCATAACCACCGTCACCATCATTCTGATACTCGGGCTGATGATGTAAGTTCCGTCTTTGATGTGTTTGATTTGAATAAATTGATTCTAGTATTTGCATAGTTATGAATGTGCCAGTAGACCAGGATACAATGCCAGCGTTTTTTTTTAACTTCTTCTAACTGTTTTCAGGATTTGGGGAACAAAAGCAGAGTTCAGGGACGAGGAAGACGACAGAATCAGCAAGGCGGTAACGGTATTTGTACTTTATCTTTTAGAGTTTATTTCATTATTTCTACTGTTGACGGAAAGTGGAAATGAAATTTTGAGACTCATTTGTGATTTTGCAACAGGACATGGAACCTCACCATCAAGCTCATCGTCTTTCCATCATAACTATAATCATCATCCCGCTGAGGTCTCAAAGCGACCGCCTGGCCCGAGAATGCCTGACGGGACGAGAGGGTTCACAATGGGGCGTGGTAAACCACTTGCTCCTCCTCTTCCTCTCACATCTGCTCAAACCAATCACCAAGTTTGATCGGTTTCTCATCTCCCTTGTGTTGTTGTGTGGTTTCGTTTCGCTTAAAAAAAAAAAGTGAAACATGTATGTAGTTATATGAGAAGTGAGATGTTGTGTGGGATTTGGGTTTCCTTTTGACATCTACAAGTCCTCTGAATCCTCACTTTATGTTCTCTGAAGATCCATGTTTTTCTAATATATATGCCACTTTGTTGTAGTCGTCTTTGACTCAAAGAAATTGTCTTCAAATTTGTCTTTTGAATACACTTTTTTACATAACCAATTGTTAACACGAAAGTGGAATGGACTTTTGTTGAGTAGATCAACCATATATATGCAGTTTCCTTCAACGATCCTTTTATATCCCTTCACACAAACATTTTTGCATTGCAAAAATTCATGCTTGAAATTCACTTTCCAAGGCGTATCCTCTGATATAAAAACTATCTTTTTTTTGGTTTTAATGTTAAGATTTTATACCAAAAGCAAATTGATACATTAGGAGGCGGTCACGGATTGCTCTCCGTAGAGAAGAAGTGCTATCCGTAGAGGGGAACATTAGGAGGCGGTCACGGATTGCTCTGTCGACCGCCCGTTTGATTGCCACTGCTGGAGTTGTAGTTGTCGTGAAGATCCTTGCATTCCGTTCTCTCCAAATTGCGTAGACAATTTGTTGAAAAAGGAGCTTGAGAATCAGCTGAGAGTGTCTGTTCCTAGTGCTTGGAGGGTGAAGCAGATAGTCAACAACATCTGTAAGATTATGTGGTGGATTATCATTCCCAATCCTGGAGACAAAGAAGAGCCATACCTCTCGTGAAAAAGTGCACGAGAAGAAAAGGTGCTGGTGAGATTCCTGCTCTACCGAGCATAAGGGGCAAACATCGGAGACCGTCATTCCCCAGCGGATCAGTCTGTCTTTTGTGGGAAACCTACCCAAGCAAACCAACCAAAGAATGAACGCAGCTCTCGGGATTTCCTCCTTGAACTAGACCAAAGATGACCAGTTCACCCGAGGAGAAGCTACTCGTAACTGTTCCCAAGTTTCCTTGGAAGAGAACACTTCTGAGAAACTCCCACCCGGAAGTCTCCATAGGTACGTGTCTCTGCCACTGTCAGGAAGAGGCGGGGTTATACCAGTGAGCAGGATCTGAAGCTCTTCACTTCTCTCCGATCTCGCACTTGGTATGTTCCAGCTTCCATTCCTTACCGCTTCACTCACCTTGGCATCCGATCTGAGTCTGAACAGCCGGGGTCCAGCTGTTCCAATGAAATCAATAAGAGGCCCAAGCTCTGTCCAAGCGTCCCACCAAAAAGACGCTGATTTCCCGTTTTGAATCCTGCACCTCAGAAACGAAGCAAGCAGAGGTTTAATCTGCAATAAGCTCCTTATACTTTTAGAGAACCTTGCTGCATCATTTGTTACCCAAAAGCTCTTTCTTGCGAAGATATGCTGTCTCACCCAAGCAATCCACAAAGAATCCTCCTTTGTGAACAAGTTCCAGGCCTGCTTCAAACGGAAGACCACCTCAAATTCACTAAGAAATCTGATGCCTAAACCGCCTTCACACTTCGGTTTACAGACCTCCTTCCAAGCCACCCTTGCTCCCACTGCCGACTGGGTTCCGTTCCTCCACAGGAAGGCTGAGCAAAGCGAGTCCACTTTGGAGTAGAATTCTTTGGGCAACATATAGACCTGACTCGAGAAGTTAACCATTCCGTAGAAGACTGAGGATACCAGTTTAATTTTCCCAGCAAAGGAGAGAAATTTAACTGTATAGGAGTGCAGCTTCTTCCTGATCTTCTCGAGAAAAGGTTCCAAGACAGCTATTGAGAGTCTCTGCGAGTTCAACGGGAGTTCTAAGTATCTCGTCGGGAAGCTTCCTACTTTCACCTCCAGAATAGAGCTAAGAGCCGCCGCCTCAGAATCTGAATAACCACTGAAAAACACCTCTGACTTGGCCGCATTCATATCAAGACCAGAGAGAACCTTAAATTGGTCTAAGACCTCCTTGATTCCTTCCATTGATGTCTCGGAGCCCTCAGAGAAATCCAACAAATCATCAGCAAAAAGGAGATGGGTTATAAGTGGGTTCTCACATTGTGGATGGAGGCCAAATCGTGATTCCCTTGCCACCGTATCCAGAAGAGGCTCCAGCAGCTCAGAGAAAGCGTCCGGAAAAGCAGTTACCCATACATCATTTGTAAGCGCGTGGTCAATCCTCTTGGACACCGGAGAGGAATCTTGTCGGTTGCTCCAAGAGTAGAGGAGGCCCTTTTAAGGAGCCTCAAACAGGCCAGCGCCTTGCATTGCCAAGTTGAAATCATCCACACCTGCCATGTCTATGTCCTCATACAAATGACTCGAATGGTGAGAGACCCTAAGAATCTGATTGAAATCCCCAACCATAGCCCACGGAGAATTTGCGAGAGGAGTGTTGATATCTATGTCCACCAGTTCAGACCATAGTGTTTCTCTCTCTGCCCGCAGATTCATCGCATACACAAAAGAGACCGTGAAAGAAACCTGTTCCGCCTCCAAGAAAATTCCACAAGTTACACACTGAGCAGTCTCCTTATACACGACGAGACTCACCCTTGGATCTCATACAACCACAATCCTAGCAGTATGATGCGAATTATAGTTCCCATGATACCTCCAGCCCCTCGGGATAGCACTTAATACTCTACTACTATTAGATATACTAATATGCGTCTCCGTAAACGCACCAAAAAGTGGCCTCTGGCTAATAATCCATGCCTTCGCCATGTCTTGCCTAGATTGGCTGTTTAAACCTCTTACGTTCCACACAAAAAACATAGATGAGTAAGTTATTGGGTAATTGTGGCCTTGCGGCCACTCTTCCTGCGCGAGACAAGGAAGAAAGGATTTTCAGCACACATGGCTAATAGAGCCGCAGAAGCATCCTTAGGTGGAGTATTTTTGATTGAGAGTTCTCTCCAGTAATTCCCTCTCCGCTCCATCCTCTTTTGTGGGACTTCTTGCATCCAACTTCGCAGCTGTATCTATTTCACTGTCACCACTTGCCCGCAATGAAGTAGACTGAGTAGTTGGGATTGACTTAGGCTTGGAAGCCGACCGCCTAGACTGCGTTGTTGTTGATCTCCCTGGGCGAGACCCTCATTTGGTCCTGTTCTTACTCTTGTCCGGACTTGGGGAACGAGATTGGGGTTTCCTCCTGCTCTTCTTCACTGGTGGAGGCCTTTTCAGGCAATGAGTATTTGTGTGCCCAAACACTCCGCATTCTCCACATTTCGGCGGTAGCCACGGATAAGTGACTGAGACCTCGAATTCCTTTCCGTTGGTCAGCCCAGAAATTAGTTTAGACGGCAGTTCCTTCTCAAAATCCACCTCTACTAGTATCTTTGCCACCTCAAAGGTGTCATGTCTCGCTGTCTCTGGGGATAATCGGTTCGCCTACCCCAGACGCTATTCGGCCCCGACTTTAATTTGTGAACAACAAATAAGGTATTCCTCTAAACTCCACCATCACCTGAGCTTTAGTCAAAGGAGCTTGTTTTGGGGAGAAATCCGGACTCCACGGAGCCACACACATCGGATAGCCTGCGATGTTCCACAGGTTCCGACTCAGCAAGATCGCACGAGTTCTTGGGTTTGATACTCGCAGCAGATAACATCCAGGTTCAACTCGGTAGACGAAAAATCGAGGACCAGTCCTTGCCCAGAGAGCATTTATTACTCCAATTATTCTACCCATTTCTGGTGGATGTCCCGGAAAATGAGCATAGATATAATCCTTGAATTCTTCTTTCGCAGCTTCGATATTCTCATCTGGGATGAGAATGAATGGCACTCCAGAAACGTGGGTTGTTGGAGTTCCAATCCTTTCGAGAGAGGTATTATCCTTGAACAAGCTAGACCATTTCTTTTCCGGTGTGGCTTCCGAAATCGGGATCTGATCTGGCAGAGACTTGTTCTGGGAACAAGAGGTGCTCTGGATTGTGGTAGTCGGGATTGCAGGGGAAGGTCCCTGAGATGCGGGTTCCGAACCGGCGAGCGAGCTAGCCGACAGAGACTCCGGCTTTACGGGAGACGGAGGCAGATCAGGAACCATCGCCGGAGACAGGTCTGGAACCAAAGCCGGAAATTGCTTCACCACCGGAGGGCATGAAGAGGACGGCTTCCTGGAACGCGAGCCAGATCTGGCAGCAAACAGACAACGCTCCAGAAGTTTACCGGAGGCTGAGGCCGTGCAAGAGCGAGGAGCACGAGGGAGAGCAAGCGGAGGATGAAAAGGAGGCTTCTTTTTCTTTCTAGTCATCGGAATTCTCAGCGACGGCGTGAGGCCAGATCCCCGGTTGCGAAGGGGCAAACGGAAACCCTAGTCGCCTTTTCAATCGCCCAAAGAGAGGAGAGAGAAAAGTTAAAAAAAGATTGATATATAAAAACTAAAAAAACTAGTCCCTAATATAGGATTCATGAAATTAATGGCAACCATTTGCGCAAATCTAATGGTCTGTTTCTACCAGGCCCGGCCCCATGCATGTTCTGGCAGTGCAAAAGCGCCGAGTCCTGCATATTTTGTAACATTTATTTGGACCGGGCCTGGTTTCTACCTTTCAACAGGTTGGGTATTGCACCACCTCGTTGGCATTGAAAGCTAAACCATTGTGATATAGAAGAAAAAGCATGAGTGAAAAATTAGATGGCTATTTGAAAGAGCTGAAGAAACTAATCTTTAAAAAAAAAGCTACTGTCACACGTTGGATCTCACAAACTGTTGGTGGAAAGCTCTGTGGGATCAATTGATGATATGATCCCTAGCCTGTCTAGTTTTTTTGTTGTTGTTGTACATGTAGACATACAAATACGCCTTTTAAGACATCTAAAACTGTAAAGCGATGATTAAAGATTAAGAGAATGCTCATATGCATTTAGAAGCCAGATGATTACGTCCAATATTTTAGGAATGCATCATTCTATGGCATTCATCACCAGAGATACGGATTGTTGGCTGCAACTTCCATCAATCGTAATGCGATTGTACCTGTTTTCATTGTTTTTTGTATTATTGTTTCTTCTTTCTTGCTTTGAATTGTGTTAAGAAGAGAACTGATATTGGGAAAAGTCTACTCCAGCTGTTGTTGAAGGTTAATGATACAAATGTATGTATATCAAACTAATTATCTTATCTCAATATGACTACTGATTACAACTTATGACAATCTTTATCTATTATCATAATACATAGAATCTCTTTGAGAATATTATTTGGCTTAGATTTTATGAGCTTTACCTCACAAACGGACTTGATGGTCCAGTTGGTTTGCAAGCTACATGTCTTCTTCTGCAAGTTATCTCCAATATTCCTTGGCCCTTGCAATCGCATGACAAATGTGGATTGTTTCCTCTCTCTCTCTCTACTTTAGTGACGAAAATTTGCCTAGTGACAAATTTCTTCTGAATGCAGTGAAGAAAAACAAAAGAGGCTTTGGATAGTAAAGTTTCTTTGATTTGGAAATAGGCAATATAAACCTTGGTTTTATGCTTTTTGCTGCTTTCTGATGCTTATTTTATCTTAATATTAGTCCAAAACTATTTATCATCATTGTGTATGGAACTGTTAAAACACTGTCAATGGCTGTTTTCCTTGTGCAGTTTTTATATGTACCATTGCTACCTTGCATATAATGAAGAAGATTATTCGAGGTGATGTTAATATGGGCTCCAAGCCCGCGGGTCTAAACAGGCCAAATGTATTAGATTTAGGCCCGAAACCGTTTATTAAAACAAAGAAATTCAAATGGGCTTGTTCGTTAAAGCCCGATTAGTAATGGGTCAAAACAAGTTTTTTCTCGGGCAGCCCGTTTAGTTTTAGCTTCTTGTTCACTCTGAGAGTCGGCGACGAAATCACGACGATTTTGTCGAGCTCTGAGACGACGATGACGATTCCTGATTCTCAGTCGAATTTAGCAGTCCGAGCTCTATCTCTGATTCTCAGTTTGAGGCTCCGAGCTCTATCTCAGTCCAAGTGTCCAACGACTCCTGCTCTTCAATCAAGTGAATTTTTCTGCATGTTCTTCGATAGGGGTTTTGTGGGTTTGTGGTTTGATTTGAATTATTGCTCAGTTTTATGAACTCTATCCCTTGATTTTAAACTTTTGAGTTTTTATGCATGTTCTTCAATCTGGGTGTTGTGGGTTTGTGACTTTGTGGTTTTAAACTTCGGAATAGTGTGAATGTTTGTGGTTTGTGACAATAGTGTGACTGTTTCTCTTGTGATAGCTTTGTTAAGGTGATTTGGTAAATTTGATTACGGTGATTGTTAACTAGCTCCTATTCTTTTTTTTTTAACACTGGATTGATTAATCTATTAGACAAATATGAGAACTGTTACAAGACAATTCTACAACGGTCGATTCTACCATCTTCAAAGGCTCCTCGGCCGACGGCTCCACGTGCAATTTCCTGTAAGCTTGTCTCCAATAATCTGCATAAATTATTAGCAAATCGCATCTTTCGGGATTCGAGACCCAAACCTCCTGGTGTAGAAGCATTAAATCCCTTCAACCACTAGGCTAAGAGGCTTCCACAACTAGCTCCTATTTAGTAGATCTTTTTCTGCACCATTCTCCCCATTTTAATATGCTCTTTTTGTTTTTGATTTTTTGGGTTCTTTTTATTTAAAAAAGAAGTAAATTGTTAGCCCGTCATACTTAATTTTAAATAGGCCTAAACGGGCTTGAATGGGTTTTTATTAGCCCGACATGCTTAATTTTAAATAGGCCTAAACGGGCCAAAACTAAATGGGCTTCAACGAGCATGGCTTAAACGGGCTCAGGCTTAAATGTGCTGGTGCTAAACGGGCATAGGCAGCCTATATTAACATTGGGCCTGATTGATTGTGTCTGTAACTTTTGATTTTTTGCTGTATAATTTAGGCTGTAGACTTTTTTGCTGTGGTTGTAGATTATAGTGCTGTAGGATTTTTATTATAAATATATTTTTTATAAAATATCATATATGTAGCATTAAAAATAAATAAAAGAGATATATGAAAGAAATATTAAAAAAGGAATAGAGAGAGTGAGATTAAGGAATGAGAAAAGAGAATTTTTAGAGCCCTTAAATTTGTGCTCTGAAAAATCTTCTCTGCAGAGCCAAAATATTTCCATATTTAAAATTATGGCTCTGAATTTAAAAAATGAAATCAAAGCATGATTGATTTAACTATAATGCTCTAGAAATAATTATTGCTCTGCAGAACACTCAGAGCACTTACAAATCACGCCCATTATGACCTGAGACCGTGCTTTAATAGTATCAGCCTTAAAGGAGTCGTCATTTCTTGTAAGCATTCTCATAGTTACGCTACAACTTACAAGTATTCAGAACTGACATATTTGGAGTAAGAAAAGCATTGTAAAGTATTTTATAAAAATATTTTCGTAATTCTGTCAGACTCTTGACCATCGGAAACCACTACTAATTTGGTTGGTGTAGCCTAAATCATCAAAACTTTGGGATTATTTTTGGATCATGTTTATTTTGCGTGTGTTTATGTAAGAGAGTTAATATTATTTTGTATTTCATTTAAGCATATCCAAGCTTATTGCTGAACGGAGTGCTTGACAAGAACGCATCTCAATAAAATGGGTATGTACGATAGTTCTTATTTTTTTTCTTCTTCTCCCAGAAAATAAAACATTACATCAAGAGGGGGGAAGAATAAAAAGACAACATGATTTATTTAGTTTTTGATGGAATATCACATCAAAAGAAGAAGAAGAAGAAATACAAGTTATGTTTTATTTTGAACGAAAACATTACATAAACGAAAGACATGACATTAACAATCGTCAGTTAAAACCGAAACATGCCCCCACAGGCACAAAAGCGACTGCTACAGCACCGATTCTGCTCATTTCCTTTCACTAAGAGTCGATAGTGAACATGCATCAAGGAGATCATCAACCGGAATGCGATCACACCTCTTTTCATTGTTGGTTCTTTTTTCTTTTTCTTTCTAGCTTTGAGTTGTGCTTGATGAGAACATAATAACCGGTGTAAACCGTGCTCCTACGGTTATTCCTAAATTAAAGGGATTGTGATATCACTACTTCACGTATGATAGTTGTAGGACAGTTTGTTTATTTCTTTCTTGTGTATTTAAGTGACATTGGTCGTTTGGGAATGATATGAAGAAGAAAAATTATGTACCTTGTGTCTCAAGTCTTTGAGACTTGTTTGATTCTTTTTTCTTTTTCTTTTTAGCTTTGAGTTGTGCTCTTCAGGTAACAATTACTAATGTATTTATAGAGTTTCGGAAATAATGGGTTTAGAGTTTAGACCCATATATTAAGGGTAGGCAAAATATGCGAGATCCTGATTTGATCCAGATCCTGATCTAATATTATAAAATCTTCAGAGTTTCTGATCCATGTCCAGCAACTAATGTACTATAGTAACTGGCATGATCGATCATACAAACTTGTTATTGTTTAAATAAATAAACATTTTAAATAGTCTTTGATATATATATATATATATATATATATAAATTGCTTAGAATATGAACCTTTTGATTTGAACTTGGTGGAACTAAATTAATCCCAAGACACCACTTAATTATCTTAAAAATTTATGAATTAAAGTTATTTGTTACAAATATTTCTTCTTCTTCAAACCAGAAACCGTTTCAAGAAAATATAATATTCTGTATCGATAACTGTTTCTGCGACTGAAATCATCGTTTTTCTTTCTAATTCAGAATGCTAAACAAGGCAAAATATACATTCTATACTACGTCAAATTATAGATATAACTACTACAATTTGGCTAGTCGAAATTGAATAATTCTTTAGACTAATTAGATTATGCGGTTAGTCAACGCTACATAGTAATTAAGAATTAAGGTTGCTTTGGCGAGATAATCTAAATTATTAATGTACATGGTACGATGATAATATAAATTATTGGCAAATTATCTCACGATACATTATGCCTAAGTCCATGAAATAGTGAATGATCTCTATCTGGAAACAAAAACCAATTATAGTATAATGACACCGTTGAATGGAAGAAAGTGAAAAAGATTACTTGTTGATCTGAAATGAAGCTTTCTTGAAATGTTGTTCTTCGAACTTTGAAATACCACTCGAGCATAACCCATTATCGTCTTTCCGAGGAATTTAGCAATGCTCCATAACAACATTACCTTCTGAACAGAACAATGGCACAACAACAAAGTATACTATCCTAAATTCAGTTTGAACCAATCACTGACTCAATTATTCTTATCATGGAGTCGAGACCAGAAAATGGATGTGAAGACAGAATTGTGTCACTTTCAAGTATGAATAATGAGAGTTGGGTGTGAAGAATAGGTTTCATTTAGGAACATTTCCAGAAAAGAGAGAAACACAAATCAAGCGGAGGAAAAAAGATCGTTTCTTTTAACCTTTTAGAGTGTGTGTGTGTGTGTGTAATCAAGACCAAGGCCAACTAGCATCTCGCCACGCAAAGCGACATCCTCCGAAACTACTAGTATCATTACTACAAACATCTGTTTTAAGCTCATCAGACCAATCTAAACGGTGACAACGAAGTTCTTGATCGCGTTTAGCTGATTCCTCTCTGTACGATGGGTTTGAGTATCTAGGGTGTTGGATAAAAGGTACATTCTTCCACCACAGTTTAAGTGCCTGAAAGAAAAAAAACGAATTTGAGTATGAAAACTGAGGCTTAAAGGGCTTAAAGTAAGTAGAGTAATATGTACTTAAATGAATTTGAGTAGTGACTTACATGCCAATAGATCCATATAGCAACCTTATGAGGCATCAACCAGAAGAAAACTGCAGGATCAGAGACAGATGTTCTTTTCGCCTTTAACGTCGCAGAGAAGTAGTTACCGAGATGAGGATGCTGCGACTCAATGGAGACAGATAACTCATCCCCAGGTTCATTTGCTCTGATTTTCCAGTTCCCAAGCATATCCTGAGAATGGTTTTTTTTTTTTACGTCTACCTCTGAATCAAAATCACACAAAAACTAATAAAGATCAATAAGAAAACGTACCATGAAAGGACTGACTTGTAATGATTTAGCAACCAAGTCTGATTCAGGGTCGAACACAAATGTCACTCTTTCTCCCCATGGCGTATTTGTAACCTACAAAAATATATTCTCTAATCATATCAATAAAGATTAGAGAGAGGATCAACACTTACAAAGCCAATCCAACAATTTACGTGTATATATAACAGGACTTATTCAGATCTTGTTATAAAACGGTGATAAAATAAAACATGTGTATTATACCTGAGCAATGCATTTGCTTAAGCGCTTACTCGATCCTTGTAAGTTGTAGCAATAATACAAGCTCAATGGGTTTTGTTCATATCCAACGCTTGGAGGTATTGTCAACAGAAAACTGCTCCAAAACAAAACAACAGATTCATCAGAAACAGTAACCATCAAAGTTTTTGAAGGGATAAGATTGAAATCTACAGTTTAATCACAGAAATAACCCAAACCACACTGTTTCAGACCAAGAAACTTAAACCAAATTTCCAATTTAACTCATGAATCAATCTTCTGTAGCAAAACTCAGATTTGATTTACATTTTGTCTCCCATTGGATTTTTTTTTTTTTTACAAATTTAATGCAAAATAAGAGGGAAAAACTTTACATGGGCCCGGTGGTGTGAGAGACTAGACGAGCTTGCTCGGCGGAGAGATGATCGGGCGGCGCGTTAACGGCATTGTCGAGGTCGAAGAGTGCGTAACGGACGGAGTAACGGAAGGAGTGACGGACAGGACGGAGACGGTCGTGCCAGACGGTGCCTTGGTAGTAAGAGACGTTGGGATCGAAGGCGGCGGCGCGTGAAGGGAGGAGACGGCGGAGAAGGATGCGAAATGGGAGGAGGAGAGAGAGGAAGAAGGATGTGATTGTAGTGTAGAGGATTGAACAGATGAGATAGAGCAATTCCATTATCTCCTCCAATGGGAGACACAAAGTTCTACAGAATATCAAATCCTAAAACAAAATTCGCGATCTACAGAATATAGAAATTTACCGATCTTAGCCGAAGAATTCTTTTTCGTGTGAAACCTTGAGAGAGAGAGAGAGAGAGAGAGAGAATTGGTTTCGTGAAGAAGAACTGAGAAATTATCTGTTTTCTCAGAAGAGATAATACTCGCACAAACTCTTTGTACAGCTAATAAGAGGCGAGCAATCAACAACGTGGAAAAGACATGAGACCCTTGGTATGCATTTTTATTTACCAGACTGCCATTATGGAGAGTAAAAATAAAATAACATAACAATTGCGTTTGATTCTCTAACTTTTTTGCAATCAAAATGCGTCTCTTTACTTCACTAGTAGTTGCAAACACATAACTTAAGAAATAGTAACGATTTCACACACACACAGAAAAAGACAATTTTTTGCTCTATCTCCCAAGAGTTTATCTTCTCCAACTACACTACTTTGAGTTCTCTAATAAGAGGGAAGTTACTTCTTTCTTCATGATGGATCAAATGATATGAACTCTACCATCGCTGATCATCACTTTGTTATCATCTTGCAGTTTCTGCATACAAAGAAATCCATAAAATGGGTAAGTACTGAAGAAACTGTATAGACAAAAGAAAAAGAATGAGAAGAAGCTGTTTTCTTATGTTGTGAATGTATACCTCCAACAGAGCCATAATCTCATCTGCAGAGTAATGAGAAGCTCCAACTCCATTGTTGTTGACTACAGTCTCTATCTCTGCAACAGAAATGTCGTCGAGCCTGTTTGTCCTCATGTGCTGCCCAAACACTCGCTCAAACGCTTCAACCCTTGCTGCAGACACCGTGCCACTAAATTGCTCTACGGGAGGCTCATCTACTTCCATTGGATCTGCTGCTTCACTGAATGAAACCGGCAAAAAGAGAAAGAACAATGTATAAGGGTGGTAACGGTTAAGATAGCTGCGTTATGGGTTTCCATGGAAGAAATCAGATTGGATACCTTTCGACATTTGCAGTGACATTCTCTTCTCCATTATCATTATCCCTTCGTTGACCAGTTGGAGTTTGTTCCTGTTCTGTTTGTTCCCTTTCACGTTGTTTTTGCTCACGTTCATCCATATCTGTCAATTCTTGATGATATATTGCAAAGTTCATAAGCTTCAAGGCAGCCTCTGCATCGGCTTTAGTTACCTTTCCAAACAAAAAAGACATAAGACTGAATCTTTAGTATAACTTATTCACGACCAGGAAGACAAAACAGAAAGATTTGAGTTTGTTTGTTTGTTACCTCTCTGCTCAACTTCATTTTCGCGTGTGCTGTGGCAAGACGGATTATTGTCTCTAGAGTTCTTGCTGTGATCGGAAGCGTACCTCCAGTCTACAGAAATGTGGATAGTCGTATCAAAATCAAATACAAGTTCTTAAGATGAAAACATAACACTCCAGCGTTCAAAAGGATGTTGTGAAATGATTTTTATACCTTAGTATCAGAACCTGCATTTCTGAGATCTGCATATGCTTCTGCAATACGTTCGGACGCCTGAATATTCAATAACAAAAGAGATATGTTAGTGGAAAAGCTTATCAGATACGTAAACGAAAAAGCTGTATATTTGATTTAAGTGTATTACTTCATCAGTGAGCTCTGGTTGAATCCTATGCTTGGCGTAGTGAATATACTTCTTCAGGAACTTAACCGTAAGAGTTTTCTCGTTTGTTTGGCCTCTTCTCTTCTTCTTCCCATGTAGCATTCGGTTGTACTTTACAAACACTTCACTTTCACCATCTTCCTCTCTTGCGTATGGCAAGCTCCCATCTGGCCCTGCCTCACCTGTGGTTCACTCAAAAGTCAGAAATGTTTCAAGACACAGGGGCTATGAAAATGTTTACTACACTGGACAAGCAAGATTTGTAGTAGCCTACTTCTATCGTTTTTGTAACGGTGCATGCGCAAGACGTGTTCTGAGATCTGACTGTCGATACCGGGATCCATTTGATCCAGCACAATAAACAGCAGATCAAAACGAGAGAGCAGCGAGTCTGGAAGTCCGATGTTCTTTGTTGGAGTCAGTGATCTGTCATACTGGCAGGTACAAGAGTAGGATATTAGGAACAAGGATTACAAGTCAATAGAGTCAACAGGCTAGAACAAGTTTTTTGCAAACTTACAGTTCCGTATATGGGATTTGCTGCTGCAACCACACTGCATCTAGCATTCAGTGATGCATGGATACCAGCTTTAGCGATTGTAACGGTTTGTTGCTCCATCACTTCGTGTATAGCAACTCTGTCCTGATCGTTCATCTTATCAAACTCGTCAATGCACACAACACCTTTATCAGCGAGGACCATTGCACCAGCTTCTAGTCTTCGTTCCCCTGATGGAAAAAGAGTATTGATTTTAATCAGACAGCACTTTGACCTCTTTCCAAAGAAAATGTCAAAACACTTTTGTGTGCCTTTTACCTGTTTCTTGGTCAGACGTCACAGCAGCAGTTAACCCAACACCGGAAGAACCACGGCCTGTGGTTGATATAGCCAATGGTGCGATATTCATGATCGCTCTCAGAAGTTGAGATTTGGCAACAGATGGATCACCAACCATCATCATGTTGATATCCCTGAAACAGCACAAGATTTGCTTTCAAGTGAGGAAAGAAAAATCGATTAGACAAAAAGATCCAATGAACAGAAAGCTTACCCTCTTAAGTGGGTTCCGTTCTTGAGGTTCTTTTCAAGTCCGCCAAGCAGCAGTAGAATAACTGCTTTCTTTATCCAAGCGTGCCCATAAATAGAAGGTGCCAAGGAGCGAGCAAGGAGATCAAATGCATCATCTCTTGCTGAAATCTTTTTAATTTCCTGCAAGTCTTTCGGGGTGTATATAGGTGCATTGGCTTCTTTGTTGAGCAGATTGATATTATTAGCAATGAGGATAGTCCTACAAAGACAGAGCTCGGTCAAGATTATCACAGTGAGAGAAAAAAGAACATCTTGAACTTAAAAGGTGTGTGAAAGAAAGAAGACGCACCTAAAGACACCATTTACACTACCCTTGCTTTTGCCTGGAAGAGCCTTGTAAATACCGATGATGGCCACTCGATCTCCTGGCTTGCAAGAGTCAACAAGGTCATCCTCAGCTATGACATCCACGCTTCGTGGAAGCTGACCAGGAGCAGCGTTTTCAGGCACTTCTTGAATAGACAAGGTCTGGTGATCTTTGTATTTGCACAGCCCATACTCAGTCACCAATAAGTTTCCATTATCATCCTGTACACGAAAAACCCAGTAAAAGGTTTAATCTTTCAAAAATTAAAGATAGATTAGCAAAACAAAAGAGCATGTGAAAATTACCCTTGTTGGGTAGACAGAGCCAGTGGGTAAACCAGCGTGGGACGTTATGTCTCGGTAATCTCGATGTGTAAAATCACCAGTTGAGGGACAAAAGTGTGTGCTTTTAACAACCTTTGGCCTCACAAGAGAGCCTGAGAGAGCAAAACATGTGTCAGATCATTTTTAAACAAGAAGGAGAAAAAAAGGAGATTTAAAGGAGAGAGCTTACACTTGGTGACAATGCCCTCAACGCAGACCAAAGATCCAATAAACTCTGAGAGAAGCTCTCTAGGAGTGACACGGCGAGAGACGAAATGACCTTCGAATCCAACAAGGATTTGCTCTCCTTCCTTCAAGTATTTTGGGTCAATGTTGCGTGTAGCTTCAGTGGCTGCGTCACAAAATGACTGCATGTACTCAATTGGAGTCTTCAGTATCCTATAACATAACAAAACAATAAGCTTTTTAGACTCTGTGACTTCACAATAACTGATTTTCACAACCACCTAGCTTTCAAAGTTTGCTAATTTCTTCTTAGTCAAAAGCACAAGAGCCGTGAATCCTATGGAATTCCCCAAATTCACTGAAAACCCTAAAGTTTCTCAAAATCTATAACCCTGTACTAGGGAGAAATATGAATCTGGAACGAAGAAGAAAGTGGAGAGAATGAGGAAAATTACGAACCTAAGGGCAGATCCAGGGAAGGAGTTATGAATGTCAGAGACATTTACAATGAGACGGTGACGCTTTTGCTGTACCAACGCCTTTATCTCATCCATGTAAATCTACAATCCATCATCAAAACCCAAAAAAATCGTCCAATTACAAAGTTATCTACAAACAATCAGGAAGCTTCCAAATGTCGATGTGACTTACATTTTCGAGGAACTGGATGAAATCTCGCTTGTGGCGAAGCCTCGTCTCCTCCGGCACATCCATTTCTTACAAAATCTCGTTAACTCGTAAGCCCTTTCTTCGTGTAGCGATTGCCCAGAGAAATTAAAAATGTAGTTTTTTCGATTTGGAGAGGCATAAAGGAGAGGGTATTGTTATGGCGGGATATTGTGAGATGACCTGTGCCCTTTTGGCGGGAAGGGAGCATTCTGTTGGGCCGATTTAAATTGGGCCGATATAGTTAATGACCCATTAGCCATTTAGCTGTTAAATTAGCCCAATGAGAAAGTTTATGATTTAAATACCTTTAAATACAGAAACCTACCTTAAAACCGAACAAAAAGTTAGAAGAAAAAACCAAACCACCTTTAAGACAGAGCAATAAAAACTAGGCCTGGGCGTTTGGGGTTCGGTTCGGGTTCGGGTCTGTTTTATTCGGGTTCAGATCTTTTTGGGTTGCTAAATTTTAGACCCATTCAAGTTTAGGGAAATTTCGGTTCGGGTCGGTTCAAGTCAGTTTTGGTTCTTATTCGGGTCTCATTCGGTTCTGATTCGGGTCAGTTTTTATCGGTTTTTTGAACTGAATATCCAAAATCCTACAAAATAACCGAAAAACTTGTCTTTACTCAATCTTCTACTAAATGTTTTTGTACTTTTCGAATATTTTGGTTATTTTATTTTAAATATAACTATTATATTAGATTTATAATTGTAATTTTTGTTATTTTTTTTATTATAAGTCTAAAAAAACTAATATTTTGGATATATAATTATATTGAATATTTTGGGTATCTCTTCGGTTCTCGGTTCAGTTCGGATTCGGGTTCGATTTTTTTGGGTATAAAATTTTGGACCCATCGGGTATTCATCTCGGTTCCGGTTCGGTTCAGTTCCATCTTTTTCGGGTCGGGTTCGGTTTGGGTCCGGGTCCGGGTAAATTGGCCAGACCTACCCTATTGCATATGCTATTGTAAAAGAGCATCATGCTATTTTTGCTTCTAAATTTAGCATGAAATTGTGCAATATGCTATTTTGCCATTGTACTTTTTTATTTATCAAAATAGTCAATTTATAAATACTTTTAATATAACAGTTTAATTATTTTGATTATGATTTATTTAAATAAATAAACAATACTCATAACTCTTTTAAAATAAAAATATTATTTATTCCATAGAAAATATAAAAACATAACCATAATAAACTTAAAAATTATTATTAAAAACACTGAAATTAAAAAAAATAAAACAGTAGCTTAAACAACAAATATTAATGATTTAATATTCTCCTAAATCACTTCCACTTCCAATGATTTAATAGTTTACTCTGCTAATAAACTTCAAAATTATTATAATTGTGGATGTTTTTTAAGAAAGAAAAACAGATGATTCACTTTGTAAAATTTAAAGAAATCAAGTAGTTTTACCAATTAATACTAAGTAATAGCATGAACCATTAGAGAGAAACTCAATCAATTCTATTTTGGTTCTTTTTCGGGTCTCATTCGGTTCTGATTTGGATCGATTTTTATTAGTTTTTTGAACCGAATATACAAAATCCTACAAAATAACCGAAAAACTTGTCTTTACTCCATCTTCTACTAAATGTTTTTGTACTTTTCTAATATTTTGGTTATTTTGTTCTAAATATAACTATTATATTAGATTTATAATTGTAATTTTAGTTATTTTTATTATTATAAGTCTAAAAATAACTAATATTTTGGATATGTAATTATATTTGGATATTTTGGGTACCCATTTGGTTTTCGGTTCGGTCCAGTTCGGATTCGGGTTCGATTTTTTCGGGTATAAACTTTTTGGACCCATCGGGTATTCGTCTCGGTTCCGGTTTGATTCGGTTCCATCTTTTTTGGGTCGGGTTTGGTTTGTGTATTCGGGTCCGGGTAAAATGACCGGGCCTACCCTATTGCATATGCTATTGCAAAAAAGCATCATGCTTTTTTTGCTTCTATATTTAGCATGAGATTGTGCAATATGCTATTTTGCCATTGTATTTTTTTATTTATAAAATAGTCAATCAATTTATAAATACTTTTAATATAACAGTTTAATTATTTTGATTATGATTTATTTAACTAAATAAACAATACTCATAACTCTTTTAAAATAAAAATATTATTTATTTCATAGAAAATATAATAACATAACCATAATAAATTTAAAAATTATTTTTAAAAACACTAGAATTAAAAAAACATAAAACAATAGCTTAAAAAAAATATTAATGATTTAATATTCTCCTAAATCACTTCCACTTCCAATGATTTAATAGTTTACTCTCCTAATAAACATAAAAATTATTATAATTCTAGATGTTTTTGTAAGAAAAAAAAACATATGATTCACTTTGTAAAATTTGAAGAAATCAAGTAGTTTTAGCAATTAATAATAAGTGATAACATGAACCATTGGAGAGAAACCCAATTCTATTTTGGTTCTTATTCGGGTCTCATTCGGTTCTGATTCGGGTCGGTTTGTATCGGTTTTTGAACCGAATATCCAAAATCCTACAAAATAACCGAAAGACTTGTCTTTACTCCATCTTCTAGTAAATGTTTTTGTACTTTTCGAATATTTTGGTTATTTTGTTCTAAATATAACTATTATATTAGATTTTTTTTTTGTAATATCTGAATTTATTGATTTCAAATTTGAATTACAAAGTCAATATACAGAACTTTCGGAAAGCAAATTATTACATAAGCAGATATATGCGCCATATGCTGAGAAAGATACAACATAAGAAATAGTTTGTTTTCCTTCTTTGTGTTTGATCTTACTCTGATGCGAAGCTTGTGCCAGGCTACCATTTTCTGGCTGAACCTTTGAATTGCACACCACATGACAAAACCCGTTGCATCCGACACCAGTTCTGAAATGTTGACAGTTTGATACCAATTATTCCGTATTAAAGTCATTATGAGAACTAGGTTTGAAGCCCCGCGCAAGCGCGGGGTTGTTTGCGATAGTTTTCTGTTTAGTTTTATCTATACTTGTTGATTTGAATTATGATGGTTTTGTATTAACTTTCATGTTTTTGTTTATGTTTTGAGTTAACCCAATCACTAACATTAAAAATATGAACAATTTGTCTTTTATTTTATTTTATTAGGATGTTAACACTCCCACTTTATCTCGAGTTTTCTATTTCTAAAATTTTAGCATGTTATAAATATTATGTTTGTTTACTTCTGTTAGACTATAAACATGCATATGCATTGGACTCAACGTTAAAATTTGTAAGCATAATGTAAAATAGCATTTGGACCCGAAATAAGATGAAAAAAATAATATATATACTTTTTTACATATCTACTTTGTTGTGGTAGCATATGAGCCTCATAACCATTGATTATTTTCTATTATGTTAGTTTTGTAAATATTAATTATATTTTGAGACAAACATATCACAATCCTTAAAATTTTCATGTTTTTCACTGCAATTAAATTTACATATAAAAACTCGACTTCTATTTTTTTTTAAATAAACTCTAACTCTAATTTCTCATTGGCTTTTTATTATCTTAATTAATTTATATTCAACTTTTTAACTTGTAAACACATTATAACATTTTGAAATAGGATAAATTCTTTTAATAAAAAGGTAAATATATACCATTTCAAGTTACATATATTTTTACTTATATTCAAACTTTTTGATAAATTTTAACATCAAGTTATCACATATTTTATATTAATTAAGTAATTTAGTTGTGTATTTTTCTTAGTTTTATTTATATTTAAAATATAAATATATGCAAAGAAATATGAAAAGTCATGTATTAAATATCTTAAAAACAATTTAATGAATTTTTTGCTGATGTGGACACTCTATATGGAGAGAGCAACTCCCTAATTATTTATAAGATTGTTGACTTTGCTTTTGTCCACCAAATCTGAAACGAAACATCAATCCACGTTGAAATCAAATTGTGTGATGAGACCTCCAGTAACTCTTTCTCTCCTTGTTGAAGAAACATCTTTCCACTGATGAATATGGTATTGGTAACCCAATATCGACTATTATACTATTTACAATGGGGTGTTGAAAAGTGATTTCAACTGTTGAATTGCTACAATGGGTATGTTTAATTAGGGTGTTGAATTGATATGGCTAATTTGATGTTGAAAAATTTCAACTAGTTGAAGAATGAAAAATGTGGGGACACGGAGACACGTGGACCAATCACAAGGAGAGAGAATATTGTTTTAATTTGTTTCTTTTTTCACTTATCCTAAATATTTAAAATCAATTATTTAATCGAAAATTATTTATTTTGTTACAAACTACTTATTCCAAAATTCATTATTATTTTTCTTTATAAATAGAAATTTGTTTCATCTTATTTGGACATATAAAAAAATTAAGTTCTTTTGTCTATAATATTAAAGATAAATTATTTTAATGGTGAGGTAAGGTGTTGAATTTTATTCAACAAAACCATTGTAGAGTTAAAATTTTGAATGGATGTTGAATTATTAGATGGAAGAAAGAGAAGATGATTTGGAATGTTAAAAAGTGAAAAAGAAGGTGTTAAAAAAAAAACCATTGTACATAGTCTTATACTCCTAAATAGACTAGGACTAAGCCTGCGCGATGCGCGGGTTTTGAATATTACAATTTTTTTTGTTATATATATAAGTACTATATATTAAAACTTTATATTCAAATTAATCAGAATTATTGTTTTACTCCTAATTTCAATATATAATGCCATATATTATTATAGCTCTATATAACTATTTCAGTATAACATATGATTTGTATCTGAATTTTTACATTAATTTTCAAATATTTTTATCTATTTTTTTATATTGTTCTTTATCTTATCTAAAATAAAATATTAAAAATTATATTCCCTATATCTTTTGTCCACACCTATTGTTTCTTCAATAATAAAAACTGAATTTAATAAATTAATAAAAATATTGAACTAAAAGTCATGTGTACAATAGAATTTGAAGTTGTTTCTTCATCATAATCGACGTCATTAACCGGTTTACTTAACCCCAATAATTTTAACTAAACCGAAATCCTAATTGTAAATTATACCATTAACCCTAACTAAACCGGGTCAAAAACCGTCTCCGGATACATGGGATTCTACCAGTCCTCCAAGCCGCAACAACTTCAAATCCTCCGATCTTAGTCCCTCTGGTCTCTTCGCCTTCGCCTCTGGTTCCTCCGTCTCTGTCATCGACTCTCGCTCTCTCCGGCTCGTCTCCACTATCCTTCTCCCTCCTCCTCCCGGTGCCCTCTCTCCCTTCACAAACCACGTAAACTTTGGGTGTCCTTTCTGTTCGCTGAATCCGATATTTGCACTTGATCTCGTCAGCTTTTCAACGATGTCGTTTAGCAGAAGCTTTCTGTAGATTATCTGTTCTTCTAGATCAATCTACACATAAGGATCCTCCGATTTCATGTATTTCGAGTAAAATTACTCTCTCTCTTTTTGGCCTTATTTTTGCTCTGATTCTGCGTCGCTAAAATTGGTCTCATTATCTTTCAGTTTTATGTTGGGTACAGTTGCGGACACGGCATTGGATGCAATTTGGAGGATTTCAGGATTTGAGGTGCCCTAGAGAATCTAATGGAGCGAAGATTTGGGGTTAGTACTTAGTAGTGTATTTGATTATTGAATGTTAACTATCAGATTTCAGTATGGAATCATTTTTTTATGGAAAAGTTCGAGCTGAATCTGTAATATTGTGATGCAGATGGGTTACTCTCCGTCAAGACGACTTGTAAGTTTCAAATGATTCCTTTTTGCTATAGACTTGCAACGTTGCTTATAGATGGTTGCAAATGCTTTAATTTCTGCTGGGTTTACCTTCAATGGAGTAACATAAATTGATCTTCCGTGACTGATTTTTAATTGACCGAAGCTGCAATATAAATTTGAGTTATATAAAGGACCACTGTGGAACTTTATATGACCGATCAGAGGGGGAAGAGATATTGGTCCGGTGAAAGGAAAAGAGACGGGATGTGGAGGAGTGGGAGGAGTGGGGAAGACAAAACCATTTGATTTCAACTTTGATGTTTTTGTTATTTTTTTTTGTAATAAATGAGATGATGCCACATGTTTTTTTATTAGAAGGAAGACACTGCCACGGAGAGAGTTCACCATCTTTTATAATAGAGATTTATAATTGTAATTTTAGTTATTTTTTATTATTATAACTTTATAAGTCTAAAAATAACTAAGATTTTGAATATAATTATATTTGGATATTTTGGGTACCTATTCGGTTAGGTTCGGATTCGGTTTTTTCGGCTATAAATTTTTTGGACCATCGGATATTTGTCTCGGTTCCGGTTCGATTCCATCTTTTTCGGGTCGGGTTCGGTTTGGATCTTCGGTTCCAGTAAAATGACCAGGCCTAATAAAAACTGTATTTGGTTTGAATTCTATACCTTACTGAAACCATTCCAAAATTTTGGGTTTGTAGCTGCATACCAGAATGCCGATTTTTTTTATAAAAAAAAGTTCAGTTTTTACATTTTTTCCGGTGTTAAAGTTATGGCTTCGCCATTAAAAAAGCTTAACGAAACATAAAACTAAACTCCTGATTGGATGTAGATGTCATGTACTTATCTGCAATTGTATGAATATATTTTCAATCAATGTAATTCATCTAGTGAGTTAATCCAGGAGAAGTATTGATAAGAAACAAAGATGAAAAATTCCCTAATTGGCTTTATTCCGACACTAACACCATTACTACAAGAGATCTCTCAGTTCTGTTTATAAATAAGGCAAATATGGATCGAACTAAAATACAAACATTCCCGTACAAGAGAGAAGAAGCAAAATCTGATCTCAGCAGCTCAATAAACAAATAAGTAAAAAGAAAAGCTGAATGAAACGTAAAAGGCCAGAGAAAATGCTCAAACCAAGAAGCTCCAAGGAAGATGGTGATGATGACGCGACGGTGATGTAACAGATGGAGCAGAGAATCCAAAGGTTCTGAAGAAATCAGGGTTTGTAGGCAGAGAAGGCGACGACTGAGTTATGTCCACCGAACCCAAACGAGTTTGATATGGCTGCAGCAGAAAAGGAAAAAAAAAAGACATTATCAGAGAAACCGTCGTCTGTTTAATACAATGAGAAAGACGGCCACGTCGTCACTTACCAACATTAACCTCGTGCTGCTTCTTCTCGTTAGCGACCGTGTCGAAGTCCACTGCTTCTTCTGGGTTCTACAATGAAAACCAAAGAGTGTAAAAAGTCTAAAACAAATCCCAATTTCAAAATCTTGCAACATTTTATCAAAGAAGCCTTTTCTTTGGTTATTGTTGTGACTAGCGAATGACTATACGTACAAATTGGTTGATTGAAGGATGAAGCCATCCCGTGTTGATAGCCTTCACGGTGGCAATGGCTTCAAGACCTCCAGCTGCACCGAGGCAGTGACCTATCATAGACTGTAACATTGCATTCACAAAACCCTCATTAGACGAAATGCAAAAGCAAACATATCAATACAAGAACATTCAGTCACTGAGAGCTTTGGGAACGAACCTTGGTGGCGTTGATTTTGATCCCTGAAGTGCTCTTGAATACCTTTTTAATGGCATTAATCTCAGCAAGATCACCAGCAAGAGTGGAAGTTGCATGTGCATTGATGTAATTTACCTGAAAAACGTGGAGAGAATCACAGGTAAGTCACAAAACGCTTTGTTTCAGATAAGCCATAAAACATTGTATTTTACCTCCTCGGGTGATACACCAGCGTCTTCAAGGCAGCTCTCAATGCATGAAGAGACACCAAGCCCATCAGCTCTTGGATCAGTCATATGGTGTGCATCACAATTCACAGCTCCTCCAAGATATTCTGCTACAATCGGAGCACCACGTTTCAACGCATGTTCCAAGCTCTCCATCACCTATTAGAGCATAGAATAAATTAACATAGTCCATGGACTTGCGGAAACAACACGTCACATGTATCATCAGCTAATCTCATGGTGAATTAAAACCAACATAACCCAACTTGCAAGGACTCACAAAAAGAGTAAGGTTCCTCAACTAAAGACAGCAGTATATCAAAACAGGATCCTATCTACAAAAACCTTAATACACAGAGCCAAACTGTAAGCAAAGAATATATGTGAGACATACCAGAACACCAGCTCCTTCACCCATAACGAAGCCATCTCTCTGTTTATCCCATGGCCTCGAAGCGGTTTGTGGGTCATCGTTTCTCTGAGACAGCGCCCTGCAAGCAACGAAACCTCCCAACCCAATAGGAATAATGGCAGCCTCAGTTCCACCAGCAATCATCATATCAGCTTCACCACGGCGAATGTGGTTCGCAGCCGCGTAGAAGCAGTAGTTAGAGGTGGCACAAGCGGTCGAGATCGAGTAGTTTGGACCCATAAGACCAAGATCGATCGCCAATAAAGCAGACCCCATGTTTGTTATGGCATAAGGAATGAAAAACGGAGATATTCTCCTGTGACCTTTCTCGATCAGAGCTTGAACTCCGTCTGAAAACACCGTCAATCCACCCATACCAGTCCCAACTAGTACTCCAGCTTTTTGCTTATCAATCTACAAAAAAAACCCCAAAACAACAAAGAAGAGTGATGTGATCAACTCAAGTGAAACTTGGTTAAACCCATCAAAGAGAAATCAAGCTCATATTCAAATTTCAATTGTAAATGTGCCTAATCGATCAAAATTCATCAAATTTCAACTCCAAACCCGATTGATTGCAGAGGTTTTAAGCTGAATAATCTTCAAATCAATCTGAAAATTTTGAAATTGATCAATCTAAGATAGTGAGGAGTGGAAATGTACCGTGTTGAGCTTATCACCGCCGAGATTCGCACTCTCGAGAGCCTTTTTCCCAGCGACAATGCAGTACTTCAAACAATCGTCAAGCCGGCGCTCATTCTTCCCGTCGATGTAACCTTCGGAGCTAAACCCACGGATCTGACCACCGAATCGAGTCGGGAACTTGGAGGCATCGAATCGATCAATCAAGCTGATTCCACTCTCGCCGGAAAGCAATTTCTCGTAATAGGCATCGACGTCGTTCCCGAATACGGAGACGAGACCCATACCAGTAATCACGACCCGTTTCTCCGGATCTGTCTCGCGTTTGGGAGCGGAAACGGCGGCTGATGCGGAGACGAACGAGCGTCTCCTCGCGGGTCGCGCATTGGCAATCTGGTGCGACTGGCGATTCGAAGGTATGCGAAGTGGGTTCGGCGGAGAAGCACGGAGAGAGGAAGATTGAAGAGCTTGCATGGCGGATCCAAAGAGAGGGAGAGAGAGCGAGAGAGAGGCGATAAGTACGATGTTGTGGAAATGGTGTGTTTTGCGAAAGAGCTTGAGTTTGTCAGATTTCACGAGTAGTCGATTTATAAAAAAAACACCGAAAAATTAGAAAAGACTTTGGGGAGAGTAACTTTTTGTTTTTGTAAGTCCCTGAATATTTACAGCTATTTTAGTTTCGACCATTTAGTTTTGTTATTCAATATATTTGGTCTCCAATCTCCATGAGCTGGCTAATTAATATATGCGTGTGGTTGAAACTTGAAAGAAAAATGCATGTGTAGCTTTTTTTTTTTGTTAAAGAAAAATGCATGTGTAGCTTACGAATTGGATTACTGATATTATAATGTTTTACGCCATATATTATATCAAATATCAAAAAAAAAAATCCAGTTGTTTTCATTTTGGATTTTATTCGATTTTTGTATATATCTAATATCTCAATTAATGAGTATGACTGGTATCTAGATTTGTCACGTTTTGAAAGCATGAAAACGTAATTTTGCTAAGTACGTACCATGAAAAACACAAAATGATAGAACGCAAAAACTAACAAGAGATTTTTAAAGGGTTAATTTGTTGTCTAGCCATACTGGGTTTTGGAATTAAGAATATAGCCATTGTATCTTAAAAATTAAGCCACTAACAAAGAGAAATCTTTGCTATCCAATTCTGTCCCTCAAACTGGTGGGAATATTTTCCCTAAAAAAATTGGTGACGTCGCTGACCTTGTTCGTGAGCAGGAAACTTCATCCCCAATTTTTTTTTGTCGAACCATTAACAGATGCAGAATTAAACTTCATCCACAAATGTACAATACATTCCATTTGAAGTTTAGGTTTTGTATTTGAGGATGAATCCAGTTAAAATTAAACCCTAATCAACATTAGTGAACCCAAACAAATAAATGTACAGTACATTCAACTCAACCCAAACTGATAAATACAAGTACATCTAATTTGGAGTTTAGGGTTTATAGCTGAAGTTTAGAATCTACGAATTCATACTACAATAGTTAAAGGAATAAAGGAAGAAAGAATGTAGACTATACTATAGTGAAATGTCCTTATACTATTTACAAAAGGTAGAAAATGGTATAACAAAGAATTATACATTAACATCAAGCGTAGAAAATCAAAATGGTAACAAGAGTGGGAACTACAAGTCTACAATAACATGAACAACATCGAACACCCAGAACATCCAAATCCGGATTGATAGCTCGATACGATGCAGTCGTGGTGGAAAATGTGCTTACATGACATCTCACTTACATGACATCTCACGCGTTTCCCTCTCTGGCTCGAAAACCTCCGTGCACACAGCGCAATTGGCCTCCGCGCATATGTGGCAATCAGAGATTTCAACCCTCGAAAGACTCAATCGCCGATTTCGACGCCGGATGGTTTTCAGATCTACCATCTTGACTCGGCTGTTCGAGCTGTCGCTCAGATACAGAATCCGGAAGCGGCCTTAGACCCAATCCGGATCCGTCAAAAGCGCGTCTCGGTTGACCGGGTTAAACGATGGACGACGACCGGATCTCCGACGTCTAATCACGGATCTACGGTTGTTGTAGATCGATCTAACTTCAGTGGAAGCTGGGTCGGCAGGAGCGGATGAGGAATCGGTAATCACTTCAATGAAACCGCCGCGCGGTGCCTTCTTCAGCCTAGACGCTGACGAATAGCGTCGGACTTCTACCTCCTCTTCCGCTGGTGTCCGTCGGACTTACGGTCCCTTTAACTAATCCTCCTTCGATTTTCCGACCTTAGATTCTCCCAGTCAAAATCCCAAATTCGCTTCTCTTTTTTTTTTGTCTCTGTTTTTGTCAGTTTCACTCGCCGAGGAAAAAGTGATATTTTTTCAAAAAAATTGAAAATTCGACATACAAGGGCTAAATTGTATATAATACACAATATACACCGTATATTTTAGCCATTCTTTTGTTATTGTCATTCACTTAATTATACCTCATAATATGGTCACTTACTGTAATTTCCCATTTTTAAATCCCCTAAAACCGTGAGCTTCCAAATAAGGCAAGTTGAGGATCCACCTCACGCATTTTAGTTTTGTAAATAGAGAAGAACAAAATTTAATTTATCTTCTAAATCGTAACTTTTTGTTATTTAGCTTACGAATGTTTTAGACTTTTAGCTCTAGTGTTTCTGCTATGATTCAACCATTCCACTAATGATTATTCTACTAGTATAACTATCTTTTTAAAAGAAATTAACATTTATTCATGCTTTAGATCCGGTTTTAATCGGTTTGGCTTTGGTCATTGCCTAATCTGGATTCCTAGGTTTCTATTGAATTGGTTAATTTTGGACTGAACATCCATACGAAAGCAAATCTGAAGTGGTACAATTTTCATTTGATTTTTGGATGATAATAAAGTCACATCCTAACAATACATTCTTTGCATCTATGTAGTTCTTTATACAAGCAAAAATTAATAAGTAGTATGATCTTTCAATTTATCTTTATTTTCTTTTTTTAACCGGGTCCACTAAGTCCATAGGGAAACAAGAGCCGAAGTCTCGTGCTCAAGGTAAGAGATGGCACAACCACTTGGTTCAATTTATCTGTAATGGCCCCTGAATGCTTACAACTGTTCGCTTGTTAGCCTCATAATTCTATTCCTCGAGATTTTAGCCTATCGTAATATAAGAAATTTCAAAGTTGAGCATGAACAAAATATTATTTAAAGTTGAAAACGTATAAACAAAATGAGCTGCAAAGGTGACAAGAAACCGGAAAATAAATACCCGAAATGTAGTTTAATACAGATGGGTAAGGTAGGTGAGCCGATACTCACGTGGGGGCATTGATCTTAGAATAGCCAAGACAACAAGCGAAAAAATTGTAAGTAGAAAGCTGGTACAAGTTGTTCAACACCTAAGCTCTATATTTCATCTTTAATCAAAATCTAACTTCTCTAAAGTCGTCTTCTATAACTTTATGCTACTTGTTTGAATTAAAATGTACAATTGCAATGCATAGCAAGTTGGTTGAGGTTTCTATTGTTTCAAAAGTAAATTTTGTTTTCTGACTTTTTATTAATATGTGAGTATTCTTAATACATTTTTAAAATGCAAATTTTGTTTTCATTTTTGTGTGTGTGCTAGTTTAAGTAATTTTCTCTTTTTTTTACTACATTTTCTGTGGCAAACTCTAACGGGATGTGTTTCAGTTGGAGTTCGGTTAAGAAGTCGAGGTATACAAATTGACCCAACTTGTACAAGATGTGGTATGCAGGAGGAGACGGTAAATCATGCAGTCTTTGAGTGCCCCCAACACTCCTACATGGGCAGTGTTTACTAATATGACACATTTATTTTAGCATCTACCACAAGATGACCAAATGTCGATTTATCCTTGACTAATATGGTATATATAGAAATATCGAAATGACAAATTATTTTCAAATTTGGATAGAGATCCTCGCGAGATTATAACTTTAGTAGCAGCAGAGGCAAATGCTTGGGCGACAGCCCAACACCAGCATGAACTAATAAGTCCACCTACGAATACAAGGGTGGAACCACATACATATGGTGATTGTTGCCAGGTTGATGGGGTGTGGAAGATGACAGAATGCCATGCGGGGTTAGGGTGGTTCTGATAGAACTTATGGGATCAAGTAATTTACGTCGGGGCTCACACCACTTCATATGGAGGTCGAAGCTCTAGTGTGGGCTATGCATTGCATGATTCAACACAACAAACAAGCAATGATTTTCGAGACAGACTGCTCGAATGTGGTTAAGATGGTGTCTAACCCTACAGAGTAGCCAGATTTTTTGATTCTTCTGGAAGAGGTAGAAAGGTGCACGAAAATGTTCACTTCCTTTTCCATCCAACACATACCAAGGACAAAGAATGCAAAGACAGACAAGTTAGCACAAAGTGCACAAGATCTCCTTCATAATGTGTATTACATAAACATTGTTCCTCCAGGCTGGTCGCTGACCCATTATAGGAATATAGGCTGTTGAAAAAAAATTTATTTAGGATGTGTGAACATAAAACGTTAAACACAAACATCAAATGCAAACGGAGGATTCTCTTTCTATATGTGTTTAGCTTTTATGTTTACAAATGACCAACAGAGTTTTGGTTGATAAAAGTTACTTCATAGTCAAATTACATACACTATTCAAGTATTCATACGAAATAATTTTTCGTATTTTGTCTTTATTTTATTTATTATGGTACATTAACTTACTTACTAAACTATTTTTGGATGACTTCTACTCATGTATGTTTGATTATGAAGTTCTCTCAGATTACACTAAGATATATTAAACATTGATTTTCAATTAAACTTTCATACTCTACCCGATATACCAGAAAATACAATTCTAGAGCTCTCCAAATCTCTTCTTCTCGTATTTGCCAAACAGAATTAAAATCAGCTGACAAAAACCAAAAACAGAAATTGAAATTAAGACTATAGTTAGCAGAGAACCATGGGCCTGTTGTACACATATAGGATAAGGAAATATTTGAGTCCTCGAGATCATGATCATTAGACGTATATAGACGTTCTAGAAACTTTTTTTGGGTGCACAGATGTTCTGGAGACTAAAGAAAGTTTCAATCATACAAATACAACTCTACATTGACTTTTGCTGACAAATTCAACATCCTACGTTACACTTCATTTGTGCACCTAAGTAAACTGCTGCCAAAAAAGACTTTGACCCGTTATACAGAAGGACATACAACTATTGAGATTCGGTTTGGTTCGAATCCAAATAGAATAATATCAGACTATAGCGTGTTACCACCTAGAATCTATAGTTAATTAGTTCTAACTTAATTATAAAAATTCGATTTGTAAGAACTTAGATTGTCAGTATTTATAAGAAATTATACTATACGAGTATCTTTTTTTTTAGAAAAAAAAAATCAATCACACTGTATAAACTGTATATAATTGTTATAAGTAAATTCTGTCAAAT